CGCCCTCCTCCGGGCCTCACGCCGGGCTGGCAGCCACCGGCGGCGGGGACCGAGCCCCGAGGGGAAGGGAAGCTTCTGCAGTCCTTAGGTCGTGGCCGTCCCATCCACCCCCATGGCCTCCCATTGCTAACCTCAAAGCTCAGGCCCTGACCCGCTCGCTGCTCTACCTGCCTGGACGAGACCTCGACCCAAGTCCTGGGAGCCCGAAGTCCAGAGTAGAGCTCCCCTTCCCATCTTGCCCACCGCCAGTGGCCAGCGCTCCTCTGGGTTCCCTGCTCCCTCCTCCCTGGGGGACCGGCCTCACTCACTCCCCAGGCCCTCGAATGATGGGGGTCCGGGCGTGCGCCCAATAAGTGTGTAAAATTGAATGTATACCCAAAGCCCCCATACCTGAGGAGTTTGACAAGCAGACTTCCTATTAGATATTAAGACACACACACTCACACCATACTTGGAGAGCTGCTTGCTTTCAGCCACTCTCCTTGGTTTGTTTGTTTTTGTTTATTGAGACAGCCTTGCTATGTGGTTCAGGCTGGCCTTGAACTCACTAGGTTGCCCAGGCTGGTTTCAACTCAGGGGGATCCTCCTGCCTCAGCTGTTCCCTCAGTGCTGGATTACAAGCGCCACCACACCCAGCGCACCCTCCTTGCAGAAAAGCAGTGGTTCCTAGGAGTCCCAGCCATTACCTAGGTTACCCTAGAGATACAGGCCTCTTCGCCCAGGTAGGGAACCTTGGAGCTGGAGTCCAGGGGCCGGCCCCAGCCTCTGAGCTCTAACCTGCAGTCTAACGTACCTTCTGCCGCCTCCCCACCTCTGAGGACTCAATCAAGTGCTTATCTGACCAGGGGCCTCCCGCAGGCAGATGTGGGCTCTTCTGACCTTCCACCCTGGAGCTCCATCTCATGACCGCCCCTTGCCCACCACCTACTTTTTCCTCTAGCTTTGCCAAGCTGCCTGCAAGTCACTAAACGCACCACCCTTTCTGCATGCTCTGTGCGCATGTTGCTCCAGGGTTACAGTAGTAACCAGACAGGGTTCCTACAGACTCCCCTAAATGTATCTAGGTCTGTAGCCTCGCCTTGTGGCCCATACTGGCCTTAACGCTTGATCTTCCTGCCTCAGCCTCCTGGGTGTGGTGATTACAGTCCTGTGCCATCGGCTTGCCTGGCCCAGGCCTCTAACCAGCCTTTGAATTCCACCCAGATTTATGCCTCTGGTGCAAAATCTGCATCTGCCCACTTGCAGTGTAAGCTCAGATGTCTGACAGGCACCTTGGAATTGCCACCCCCACAGATCTGCCCCACTAGGCTCCCGCATTGAACAAGCGTCCGCCACCCATCCCGGTGGCTCAGACCCCAGACCGAACACCCAGGCACCTGCTGCCTTTGCCTTTGCCCTCTCCCTGGCCCCTTCTCCCATTCGCTCGCAGGTGCTGTCAGCCCTCATTCTGAAACATACCCACAGTCCACTTCGCTCTCTCCTTGCTGCCCCCACCTAATTTAAGCCATCATCGATTTCCTGTCTGGATTATCGCAGCAGACGCCTAACTGCCCATCGCACATGGGGCAGCCAGAGTCATCTTATAAAATCTTAATTCTGATTAGGTCATTCTCTTAAAACCCTCCTGTGGTTTCCTGGTGCACTTAGTATTACACCCAGCTCCGCAAGCCCTGCACCAGCCATCTCTTTCCCACTCCTCCCTCCATCCTTTCTGGTCACCTCATAGCCTTCTTTCTTTCTTTCTTTTTTCTTTCTCCTCCTCCTTTTTTTTTTTTGTTTTTTTTTTGTTTTGTTTTGTTTTTTGAGACAGGGTCTTACTATGCAGCTGAGGCTGACCTGCAACTCACTACATAGCCCAGGCTGGTCTCGAACTTGCAGCGATCCTCCTGCCTCAGCCTCCCAAGTGCTGGGATTACAGGCATGTACCACCATGCCTGGTATCCCAGCCTCCTTTCTGTTCTACACATCCTTTGCAGCCTCAAGATCTGTGCACTGGCTCCTCCCTCTTCTCCAGGTCCCAGCTCAAATGTCACCTCCTCCAAGAGGCCCTCCTGGACTACACTTTTTAAATTTTTCTCTCCACCGTAACTCCAATTGTCTTCTGTCCCCTTCTTTCCCCATCCTCCCCTCCCTCTCTCTCTCTCTCTCTCTCTCTCTCTCTCTCTCTCTCTCTTTCGCTGATTAAAGTCCTAAAACTTTTGCCTTGAGCTACATCCCCAGCTCTTTTTCATTTTTAGTTTTAGAGAGGATCTTGCTAAGTCATACATTTCCCAGGCTGGGCTTGAAGTTTTGATCCTCCTGCCTCATCCTCCCAGAGTGTATTTTCTTTAGAGGCTTTACCACACTCTATAATTATCTTGTCTGAGTATTGTTTGTCTTTCTCATTAGAATGTAAACCACAAAAGAGCAGGAAACTTGTCTATGTTGGTTACTGCTGTAACCTTGTGTCAGGTCTGCTGCAGAGTAACCCAGTAAGTAGTTACAAGTGATTGTGTTTCTTTGCCCTTGGTAGCAGCCCTCGCTCTGCATTATAATCTGGGATTTATGTGTCTGTTTCTCTAACTTCCTCATGAGTCCATACATTGTTCTGTACCTCTGGAAGTCCGGGCCTGGCATATGATGGGCCATGCTTACATATTTGTGAAACAGATAAAAAAAAAAAAAGGTGGGGGGGGCTGAGGTTGAGGACAGAAAGTTCAAATCCAGGCCAGAGAGTGGTGTGACTAGTTCATACGAGGCGAGGCACAGAGCCAGAACAGTGGCCACGGGCATCTCTGAGGCATGAACAAGAGTGTGTGCCCAGCGGGCGTGGTGGTAATCCCAGTACTTGGAAGGCAGAGGCAGGAGGATCACTGCAAGTTGAAGGCCAGCCTGGGCTACATGGTGAGACCTTGTCTTACCCTCCTCCCACACACAAAGCATGTGTCCTGAGTTCATGGTCACGGCCACTGAATGACTTGGTGAGTCTCTCTGATCCCCCTTCATTTCCCTTGTGTCGCCCTGCAGGAAGGACCTTCCCCAAGAAGGGCCAGACGTGCGTGGTGCACTACACAGGTAGGCCTGCCCCAGGCCCTCGCCCTCCCCTCCCCGCCCCTCCGGAGGCGGGCCTGTCCCCAGATCAGACTGGAAGCCCAGTCCCCTTTGCCCGCCATCCTCACAGAGGCCATTCCTGGTGGCTGCCTCCAGTTGAAGTAATCATATCCAGTCCCCACCCCTCCATGCGGGCAGCGTGGTGCCCTGGCCCTCCTGCTTTTGATGTTTGGAAATCTCTGAAAGCTCCATGGACCCTCTGCCTCCCAGTAGCTGCTCTTTTCATCCCACTGTGTCCTTCGAGGAGGTTGACTCTCAGAATTTCCTTCTTCTCTCAGAAACAGACTGTTTCATTTCCACCTGCTGTTCTTGGGTGCCAACTGTGCCAGATGCCTTGCTGGGCACTGGGGACACAGAGACAAGATCACAAGACCCCTACCTTCCTGGGGCTCTGGGAGGGGAAGGGGAGAGGACAAGACCGGGCCCCTGGAGGGTTGGGGAGACGGCAGTGCTGGTGTTTGGGGCCGGAGGAGCCCAAAGAAGGTCCCATGTCTCTGCCATCCCCTCCGGGATCTGATGTCTGGCTGGGCCAGGGACATCACAAATGAGCTGGCAGGAAGAGCACGAGCAAGCGTCCGTTCCAAGGGAGATGAGGGCTCTGCCTTGTGACCTGCTTCTTAATGTAGCAAACTTGGTGGGTGACAGCCACTTAGCATACAGCAAAGCCAGCTTAATTCCTGGGACATATTCAGGCCGTTTTTAGCAGTTCTTGGGGCCAGCGTGAAACAGCAGGCTAGTGCAGATGTTTCCCAGCAGTTGTGTGGCCAGTTGCTGATGTCAGTGGACTGGGGCTGTTATCTCCTTGCAATGTGACCTAATTACCATAGGGCCACTGGGGCCTCTGGCTGGGGTAATTGATTTATCTGCTCTACATGTTGCGAGCAGACCAGTACTTATCAAATTACTGAAGCCTTTTCAAGGCTTTTCACAGTGTATCCATGGAGCAGGCAATGTGTGTTAAACACTCGTATCAGCTCCGAGTGCTCTGGTCTTATCAAACACAACAGGAGTCTCTCGGGCACTTTTCACTGTTTCTTGCAGTCCCGGGATGGAACGTGAATACATACAGCAGAGGATATAATCAAAGGTGTATAGCCTAACAATATTAATAAAATCATTGTTATCATTAGTAGTATTACTACAGTAATAAAAATAATAGTAATTGTTATGGGACAGTAGGGATCAAACTCAGACACATTTAGGCAAGCGCTTTACTACTGTTACAAGCCAGCCTCCCTGAGTCTTTATTTAGAGTGATAATTATTCACCCACCACCCAGATAAACACAAAATATTCCTAGCACCCCCGGGAAATTTCCCCACGCGCCATCCCAGCCATCCACCCCCTAAGGGAAATGAATACTCAATTTTTCTCCCCATGGACTGGTGTTTTTGAACTTCATATAAGTGAAATCATAGAATATGTAGTCTTTTTTTTTTCTTCCAGTACTGGGGATTGAACTGAAGTTTTTATACATGGTAGGCAAGGAAGGCACACTGAACTACATCCCCAGCCCTTTTTTAAGAGAGGGACTTGCTAAATTGCTCAGACTGGCCTTGAACTTGCAGTCCTGCCTTATCTACGGCCACACAACCCTGAGCACACCCAATCTGCCTGATCTCAGGAGGTAGGAGGCAATCCTGCCTTAGCCTCCTGAGTAGCTGGGATTACAGATGTGTGCTGCCGTAGCCAGCTAGTATGTACTCTTTGGTTTTGGTTTTTCTTTTTTTTCTTTTTCTTTTTTTGGTACCAGGGATCAAGCTCAGCACCTTGCTTGGAAGGCAGGTGCGGTGCCACTGAGCTAAATCCCCAGTCCCCTTGGTTTTTCCTTTTGGAGATAAGGTTTCATTATGTAGTCCAGGCTGGCCTTTAACTCACTATGTAGCCCATTTGGCCTCAAAACAATCCTCTTGCCTCAGTCTCCCTAGTGCCAGGATAACAGGCATATGCTAGTATATACTCTTTTGTTTGGCTTACTTCACTTAATATTATGCCTGTGAGATTTATCCAGAGTGCTGTGCTCTTTTTATTCCTCCACAGAATTCATTGTGTGAATGCACCACAACTTATCCTATTTATTTGTTTATTATTTGGTGTTTTTGTTCCTTTGTGTACCAGGGATCAAACTCAGGACCTTGCACTTGCCAGGCAGGCATGGCACCACTAAGCTATGGCCTCAGCCCCTCGTTTGTTTCTTTCTTGACACAGACTTGGCATGTAGTACAAGCTGGCGTTGAACTCACTGTGTAGCCCAGGCTGGCCTTGAACTCACGGCAGTCCTGCTTCAGCCTCCCAAGTGCTGGGATTACAGGATCTGCCACCATGCCCAGCTATTTGTCCTTTTTAATATTTAACATTTGGATCGTTTATAGTTAAGTCTTGTAGCTGTCTCAGTGCACACATGTACACAAATATGTTGTTGGGAATATAACCAGAGGTGGAGCTGCTGGCATACAGGGTTTTACCTTTGCCTGGGTTAGCAGTACTGCCAAGGAGCTTGCTCAAGTGCTTGTGCCAATTTCCACTTCTGTCCACAGTGTTTGAACATTGCAGTTACCCTGTATCTTCACCCACAGTTGGTACTGTCAGGGTTTTGTTTTGTTTTGCTTTTGGTCCACCCCGGAGCTGCCTGGTAGTACCTTATTGTGGTTTTGCAGGGCATTTCCCTGAGAAGTAATGAAGGTGAGTGCCTTTCATATGTGTACCTCCCATTTGGATATCCTTTTTAGATGACTCAAATTTTGCCCATTAAAAAAAAAATCAGAGCCAGGTATGATGGCACACACCTGTAATCCCAGCCCTGTGGGAGACTGAGGCAGGAAGATCACAAGTTTAAACCCAGCGTGGGCCACTTAGTTAGCAAGACCTTCTTTCAGAAGTAAAATAAAAGAGCTGGGGATGTAGCTCAGTGCAAAGGCCCTGGGTTCAGTCCCTAGTATTGAAAAACCCTAGGTAGAAGGGGGCTGGGAATGTCGCTCAGTGGTAGAGTGTGTTCTTAGCATGCACAAGGCCTGAGTTCAATCCTCACCCCCTAAACAAAAGAAGTTACAGTTGAAATGTGTTTCTTTTCCTTACTGATTCATAGGGGTTCCCTGTATATTTTGGGTGTGCATCGTTTGCTGTCACTATACCTGTCCCAGACATCTTGCACACTAGCTTGCCTTGCACACTTGTCTTGTGTTTTTATGGGGAATGCTTTCTGTGTTCAGTTTAGGAAATCATTGTCCTCCAAGTCATGAAGATTTTCTTCTGTAATTACTCTGTAGAACCTTTATGATTACTATTATTTTTAACAGTGCTGGGGATTGAGCCCAGGGCCTCACATATGTGGGACAGGCACCTTTACACTGAGCTACACCACCCCAGCCTGAAGCTTTATTATTTTATCTTTCATGTTTGTATCTCTGAGTCCTCTGCATGTGATTTTTGTGTGTGAATTTGGCAGGGGTCAAGGCTTGATTTTTTTTTTTTTCTCCTATGTATGTACAGCAGTAACATTAATCCCAAATCTCATCTTTTATCTGATGTTGCTGTAGCATCCTTGTCAAGTGAAGTAACCATATATCTGTGGGCCTGTTTCTGGACTAGGTGGTTGGGCTGAACTTGGAGCAGCAGCTGCCTGTACATGTGGTATCCAGGAGACTTGGTTATACCTGAAGAGACTGGAGGATGAGAAAGTTGGCTACGAATGGGTGTGTTTGTGCACATGCACACCCATGTGTGCGTTTGTCCAAGTACTTGTCTGTGGGAATGCACGGAGATTCCAATATTTTCTGAGCATCTGTTTGGCCAGCAGGGCTTTTCTCCTGAGTGTGTGTACATAAGTGTATGTGAGCATGTGTAAGTGTCTCTGCATATTGGAATATCTTAGCAACCTGTGTGTATGAGTCTGTGTTTGATCTCCTTAGTATCCATCTGTGTGTATCTGTGGAAAAGGGTTTTCTCCTTTGCCTCATTTGGAACCCAGGACAAGAGCCCAGTTTATTCTACACAGAAGGTAGGGAAGTCAGACTGTTTCTCTAGTACACACTGAAATTGTAGAAATTTAGAAGTAAAATCATAGATGCTCAGACACTAAGCTGGCAGAGCCTACTTTAAACATGGAAAATCTGAGGCCCAGACAGAGGAAGTGGTTTTCTCAACATCACACAATGAGTTAGTGCCAGACTGAAGTCAGGAGCCAGTCTCTGGACTTAATAGGCCTTGTCTTCTGTAGATCCAGATCACCTTGTCATGGTCCAGAGGCTGCAGAAAGAACCTGTGAAAGAGTCCCTTACAGGAGCTCTGATCTCTGAGTGAGAGGCACCAATAAGAAGTGAAAATAGAAATAGTTTAGGCCAGGGACTTAGCTCTGAGTTTTGGACCCCAGTACCAAAAAGAAAAAAGAAAATAGAAACCGTTCTTGGGCTTGGGCTGCTGGGCTGAGATGGCTTCAGTGGGACCAGGCCCTCAGCCAGAGGGTGAGGGATGCCACCAACTGCTAGAGAATGCACCTAGGTGTTCCAGTGTCAAACAGCCATTCCAGTGGGGTTTGGAAGCTACCACTGATTGGCTGGGTCACCTCCCACAGTTCACTGCCATGGAGGATGGTGTAAGTTTTAGGTGTTTCATTTTGGGGAAGCCTTTAAGTGGGGTTTCAGTCTGAGGCTGGAATATGAGAGAGAAGTTTAGGCTGAGGAAGCAGCGTGTAAAACTTGTACTGGGGAAAAAAGACACTTGCACCGGGCAGAGAATTTGAGGTGTGATGTGGGAGGATATGGCGGGAAGGAAAGAGGAGGGAGAGGGCTGTCAGGCAGGAGAAAGTAGGTAGACCTTGGAGCGCCTGTACACATCATAGGCGTTTGGATTCTGCCCTGGGGAACTGTTGAAGTGTTTTAAGCAGGGAAATAATAGGACTTGATTTGTGTTTAAAGAAAAAACAAATCTGGGTGCAGAGTGGAGAGTGGAATGGAGTAAGAGCAGAGCGTAAAGACCAGCTGGGTTGTTTCTCCCCGCAGTTGATGGTGACTCAGCGAGGTCACAGGGTAACAGGAATGGAGAAAATAGGGGGTTCCAGAGATGTGGGGCCGGGCGGGAGCTTTAAGTGGGAGCAAGTGAGAGGGACGAGTCCAGGTGTCTTGTGCAGGCAACAGGACGCAGAGAATTGCTTCCCGGCCTTTTGGCTAAGATCAAGTGCAGGATGGACGCAGAGGTTCAGAAGAGGAGCAGGTTTGTGCAGAAGAGGAATTCCATTTTAGATGTTTAACCTGAACTGGGTGCTAACCCACAACCACAGTTCTTTCCTGCCCTGTTCTTGCTTTGACAGGAATGCTCCAAAATGGGAAGAAATTCGATTCATCTAGAGATAGAAACAAACCTTTCAAGTTCAGAATTGGCAAACAGGAAGTCATCAAAGGATTTGAAGAGGGGGCAGCCCAGGTAGGACCCGGGGGTACTCGTTAAAGGGGATTTAAGGAGCTGGGGGTCAGGGCCAGCACTTGGGCGTCCACCTCCACCCTCACCCTCTGGTAGGCCACTTCTGCTTTCGCTGTATGGGCCAGTGCATGGCGACGCCACCTAGTGTTCACTCCTGGCCCTGCGTCCCTGCCCCTTGGCCGCATGCCTTTGTCACCTGGGCCCCATGCCAGACACAGCCCCTCAGAATTGCTTGGAACTCGTGGGAGGCCGACCAGCTGCCCGAACCTGGGGCAGCAGAAAAGTAAGAGTGGGATAAGCCAAGAAGGGTTTAAAAAAAAAAACCTTAAAAAAAATTAGGCATATAAAAATAGTAAATTCTTGTTTTTACCCAGCTTCCCCAGATGTTAACATCTTATATAATTATAGCACATTGATCAAAACCAGAACACTGACAGAATATCATTAATCAATTCAAGTCTTTTAATTATTTGAAATTCAACAGTTGATTTATTCAGACTTCACCAACTGTCCCACTAGGTTCCTGACAGGTGTGTGCCGTGCCGAGCCCTGGTTTGAGTGCTTTCTCCGTGGTCTCTGTGCAGTCACAGGTGCTCCAGGCCACTAGGTCCCTTCGCCCTCCCCACCTTGCTGTGGCTCCTGCTCTGTGTGACTGAGCCTCAGCCCCCATCACCTTAAGTGGGTAAAGCCCTGATTATACCTTCTCCTTAGGCTGCTTTAGGAGAAGGGAAGGAATTACGAGCAGATGTTTGAGCCACGTGTTAACTGAATAACCAACAGTGTCGGATGAATGAAGTTTGAGACTGCTACTGTCCCAGAGAAGTCTCTTCCTATTTTCAAGGCAGAACTGGGCAGCTCTTTGTGTAGTATCAAAGTGCCACATACAAAGTTCATTTCAGGCCTTTAGTTACCAGGATGTTTGCCATAGTTCTCTTTTTTCTTTTAAATCAAGCTGGGTCCTCTTTCTCCTCTCCCATCTGCCCCCATCCCTGCTAGATGAGCTTGGGGCAGAGGGCGAAGCTGACCTGCACCCCTGATGTGGCGTACGGGGCCACGGGCCACCCCGGTGTCATCCCTCCCAATGCCACCCTCATCTTTGACGTGGAGCTGCTCAACTTAGAGTGAAGGCAGGAAGGCACTTGAGGTGGCTGGAGTCGGCTGCCGCCCAACCTTCCAGCCTGCTTGCTCTCCACTGGGACGGCTCCTGTCGGGGCTCTTGATCAGTGTGCTGACCTCACCGCCCCACGCGTCACTCGCTTCTCTGCCCAAGCTGCTGTGTATGAGTTCATCACGTTCTCACGCATCTTTGCTTGAGGAGCCTTCAGTTGCAGATTGAAACATTTCCGGTTGTGCATTTTGTGTGATGCATGCAGTAGCCATTCCTGATCACAGAACAGAGTTGTTTGCACAATCTATACTGCCTTACCGTCACTTAAGCCAGACACAAGGTGCTCAGACATGCAGTGTACGTGGCGCACACAGAGGGACTTGAGCCAGTTACCTTTGCTGTCACTTTCTCTAATGAATTCTGTTGGCTGCTCACTTAAACAATGTCCTCTTTGGAAATATGTAAAATAAAGGCTCTTTGCTTGCTAACTTCCTGTCTGTCCTTGTAAGAAGGAAGTGCTCCACAGAACACACAAGCCACTTGCCCTTTGGGAGATGTGGAAAGGAGCCTTCTCAGTGGCTAGGAGAGTGTAATACACGTAACAGCTATCGTGGGAACACTGTGCCGGGCCTTAGTGTATGTAGCGCCAGGGATTGTGCTCTGTGCACTTTTAAATAAAACCACCAATCCTCTAAGCAAGCTGCAAGGTCGATACTACCTGCTACTCATCTCATGGGCTTAGCATTCTTCCCTGTGCAGCTAATCCCACAGCCTAGCAGTCACACGGACCTGCACACCTCGGACGACCTTGCAATCTGTCTTGGGGATACAGCGGTAAGCTCCCCTCACCCAGATGGTAACACTTTATCTGAACAAGTGAAAGTGTGTCGGGGGCTTAGAATACCGTCTCGCTGGGAAGTTACTCTGAGAAAGAATTATGATTTTGAACTTGTTTCCACCTGTACTGGTTAGTTTCATCTAGATCTGCTCTAGCTTCAGGGTAAGATTTCTGAGAAAAATGTGTAATTCTGAACTTGTTTCTATACAAGTCAAAAAAGGATGAGTTTCACTATGTTGCCCAGGCTGTCCTCTAAACTCCGGGCTCAAGTGATCTTCCTGCCTGTCTCCCAAGTAGGTGTGATTATAAGCTTCACCATCCAGCCTACACAAATTTCTTGTTTCACCAACATTCCCAGCTACTTGGGAATGAATCCCCAGTTAGGTTTTAAAATTAGCCCTTAATGGTGTGGGTTGTGTACAGGTTAGAGAACCCAGGTCAATGTGGCAAAGAGATTTTACTTTCAGTTGCCCTAGGGCAGTGACAGAGAATCTTTTAGAGCCCACTGGTTTGCCACCGCTGGCCTAGGGCAAGAACGCCTCCTGGCTATCGTCAGTAGCAGTGGACTACAGGGATGCACCTCTTCCAGTGGCTCTAGATGGGATACAATTTTTTGAATGAACTTAACTAACTCATGCTTTTTTATTTTATTTTATTTTAATTTTTTGGTTTTTTGAGACAAGGGTCTCACCATGTAGTAGGGACTGACCTGGAACTCACTATGTAGCTCAGGCTGGTCTCGAAATCACAGTGATCCTCCTGCCTCAGCCTCCCGAGTGCTGGGATCGTACGCATGCACCACCACGCCCAGCCTTTTTTATTATTTTTGGTACTGGGGATTGAACTCCAGACCTTGTGCTTGCAAGGCAGGCAGAACCACTGAGCTAAATCCCCACCCAGCCCTATAATTTGTTTTTTGAAACAAGGCTCATATGTAGTTCAGGCTGGCCTTGAACCCAGGGTGGCCTCAAATTCATGGCAATTCTGCCTCAGCCTCCTGAAGGCTGGGATAGAGGGATGTACCACACTTGGCTAGCAGGAGATTTTTAAACTTTGAACTGGGTGTGGTAGTGCATACCTGTAATCCTTGCTATTCCAGCGGCTGAGGGAAGAAGACAGCAGGTTGAGACCAGCCTAGGTTACATGACAAGACCTTGGCTGAAACAAACAAATCAAATCTCTTAACTTAAATTATTAAGAGATCATTATGGATAGACATTCAGTAAATGGCAAGACCACAAGTTCCTATCATGGCTAAGCAATGGATGGGACACTACAGCCATTAAAGTACATAAAAAGACATCTGCTCTCAAGACATTCAGGGTCTAAGCCCAACTATAATCCTTCAAATGGTTCAAATGTTTTATTCCTGACATCAAACATGGGGGAAGAGAAAGCATTGACATGTTTTACAAAAAGTTACAAGTTTATTGGGGCTGGGGATTTGGCAGTGGTTCTGCTGCCTGCCTCTCAAGCACAAGGTCCTGAGTTCGACCCCTGGTACCACCAAAAAGAAAGTTACAAGTTTATTAACATAATATATTCTATTATGTATCTAAGTTTCTTTGAACTTCAAGAAATCAAGATATTCAGTATTAATTAAAAAGGAAAGCAAAGTGACAGTGGTCACAGGGGAGCTTTAGTCCAAAACGAAAATGCGGCAAACTTATTTTGGTGGATCCGTGTTGATGCCGTATTTCTCCTTGAGGAGTTTCAACTGTTCCTCCTTCTTCTTGGTGTCCATCTTCTGAAAGGCCTGGAAATGCGGCAAGCACCCAGGTTAAAGGTCCCGACCTGTTGCTGCATGGATCTCACCAGTACTGCCAGCCGAAGAAGGAAACTCCCAGCACACACTTCCCCACCACACTTCCTTTTACACGGGTTCTCCAATGCACTCAGCATGTGAGGAGAAACTGTGATACTTACCCTGTTGGCGTTGTAGTACAGAACCACAAGGTACCTGTTGCAGACGTTGAATCCGGACAGGTGGTCACACGCGTTCTTGGCATCAAAGATGTCTTCATAGACCACATAGGCTGTTCCTCTAGTTTCAGGTGTGTTTCCCCTGCAGACGTAAAGTGAACGTAACTAAGATACACAAGCACCGATAACTGAATAAGAGAACAGTCTTTTTTTTTTGGTGGGGGTTAAGTCAAGGTTTCACTACGTCATTCAGGCTGGCCTTGAGCTTGCAGAGATCCTCCTACCTCAGCCTCCTGAGTGTTGGGACTATAGCCATGCACTACCAGGCCCAGCCTGGGAACAGTCAAATACATTTTATTTAAATATTTTGAGGTCAGTGTGAAAGCCATCAGAGGAAATAAACATTATGGATAGATATACATATGCTAGATAACCCTGTGATTCCTTGAACGAGGTAATTCTCTTTTCATATTTAAGTAACATAGCTACAGCTTACTGTTCTATCGGGAATATAAAGAATACAACTACAACTAAAGCACTAGCAGCAAGCAAAGAGCTAGCTTGAAATTTTGGTACCATCTTTATAACATCTGGACTTTAGCTGTAAGCTGCTGTGTTGCTGGAAAACGCAGCTCCCAGTGATCAACGTAAACCTAGCGTCAGCAAAGAATGGAAGAGCGGAATTTAAACTAAGAGAAGATGATTTATTTGAAGGTGGAGAAGAGGGAAGAGAGAGCCCATAGCTACTTGAGTAGGGAAATACACCTTTTATTGGGTTTCTCCTTGGAACCTGATTTCTCCCTGGCTGTCTTGGGTTCTCCCCTTGATATGGGTGGGGTTTAAGGACAAATAGCTTAGGTTTAATTATTAAGTACGCTGGTGGGTTATGTTTATCACCCTTCTTGGGACCTCCCAGAATTTAGTTCCTTTGGCTTTGTCTTTCTGATTGCTGGAGCCTAATCTGCAGAGGCAGAAGGCTCTGCCCTAAGTAAGTCTCTCCACTAACTTCCAAAGATCTATGAGGCCTTCATCCTATCTTTTCCTACCTATGGGGGCCCTGTCCCTGTATCTTCATGTGCACTGCTTTAGCCTTCCAGTTGCTCCTACTAAGTACACTTTTCAAGCCAGGCATGGTGGCACACACCTGCATCCCCATGATTTGGGAGGCTGAACCAAGAGGATTTCAAGTCTGAGGCCGGCCTGTGTAACATGGTAAGTCCATGGCCAGCCTGGAGTACACAGCGAGACCCTGTCTCAAAAAACAAAACAAATAAAAACACAGAGAAAATAAAGTACTGGCCCTCAAGAGAAAAGCCTTATACATTCTTTTCTTTTGATATCAGGGATCGACCTTGGGATCTTGAGCTTGTGAGGCAGGCGCAGCACCACTGAGCTAAATCTCCGGTCCCATATATTCATTTTTCTAATCCAAGCTCTCATGTATTACATAGCCCGTCTAGCTGGGGAAAAGGGTTGGGCTTCTGCTAAAATGGGAGCACAAGTGTGCTCATCTGTGAGCCAGGGCAGAATGCTGGCAGGGAGCTGGAAGCGGAAGCCAGACCTTCCTCAGATCCGGGGCTGCTTATGGTACAGGTGTCCCTTGCCACGTCCTCCACTTCGCAAGCCTCTGGAAGAAGGGAGGTGTGAGGCACAACAGGGGCACTGAAATGCAGGCAGCACAGAGCCAGCGACTTGGTGGGGACGGCAGGCAGAGGGCCCACTCTGGCCATGCTCGAGTAGCACAGGTATTACCCAGCCCTGCCTCAGTCTGTCTCAGCCACACAGCACAAGTGCGGACTCCGCATCTGTCATCTGCACATGGTGAGGGAAGGGCGGCAGACCCATGGTAAGGGGCGCCTCTGCCTAGAATTAAAACAAGACTCCAGCCTCGGCTCTGCTCAGAGCTTGTGCTTCCTGTAAGAGGGGAAGGAGAAGGAGGGGAGGAGAAGGGGATGTAAAAAGGATCAACGTGTGCTGTGTACACGTTTCCACTCCCACGATGAATATAACCATTACATACTACACACAAATAAAAACGTACGAATTTGAAAAGGGGGCGGGGTGGAATAGGGACCGGGTACTGTGGTTAACTGCAGAGCCCCAGTGCCGGTGAGTGAGCTAACCTTTTAGGCTGTGTGAGCCTGATGAGGTGCTTTATCATATTCTGTACTGCCTGGCAACAGTATTAACTATTAACAACTTAATCATTCTCAAGAACGTATTAGGTTTGCTGGGTGTGATGGTGCATGCCGATAATCCCAGCACTCGGGAGGCTGAGGCAGGAGAATCACAGCAAGTTCAAGGTCAGCCTGGACTACACAGTGAGTTCAAGAGCAGCCTGAACTGAACAGTGAGACTCTGTCTTAAAAAAAGGAAAAGATGTATCAGGTAAGGAAGTTGAATACTGCCAAAAGGAAAAAACTTAACTAGATTTTAAGTGTTTTAGGGACAAAGCTGATCTTACACTTCACTTTACTCCCATACTGCCATGCATACAGCAACAGCTAACATCCATTTGAACATCCATCCTTCTCCAAGAGGCTCTTTTCTTCCTCTTCCTAGAGAGGTCCTAACCCCCTTTTATTTTTGCAATGCTGGAGCATGAACCCTGGACCTTGGATTTCTAGGCAAGCTCCACTTCTGAGCCAAACCCCCAGCCTCAACCTCACTTACAACATGACCCATTCTTGAGTGTCCCAGCCCTGAATGTTGACCTCTAGTTTAGAAACCTTGACAGTTTTGCGGTACTACGGCTGGAATCCAGGCACATATTCCACTACTGAGCTATACCCTCAGGTCTTTTTCTTTTGAGATAGAGTCTTGCTAAGTTGTCCAGGCTGGCCTCAAACTTGTCAACCTCCTGACTCAGCCTCCATAATGGCTGAGATTAGCGGGTGTGCATCACTATAGCATAATGCACTATAATGCATAGTACCATAGCTATCATGTAATTTCTTTCAGTACCTGGGATCAATATGATTTAATTTTTAAAAGCATATATTTAGTGTATGTCATTGTGTCACTACAATAACAATATTTTCTTGATTGGTGGCAAAAGCTTAGGGTAGGAAAAAGACTAAAAAAGCTAGAGTAGAAGTGTGAACCTTCATGTAGCTTAGCCTCTCTGGGCTTCAGCTGCTTTGTGTGTCACAAAATGATCTGGGCTGAATCACCTGTCCTGCCTTATAGATGATTTAGTGATCAGAAGGAAGAGGCTTTAAAAAGTACAAGGTGTCAGGTATCTCCCACGTATCAGGTAGGGTCATTGAGGTTTCAGTACTGAAACTGTCATCCCAGAAAATCTCAGTATTGAGCAAATGGGGAAGAGCTGGTCACCATACTGCTAGGTGCCAGGCACATAAAAGGACTTAACTGGGCATGGTGGTGCATGCCTGCAGCCCTAGCACTCAGGAGGTTGAGACAGGAGGATCACCAGCCTGGGCTACACAGTATGACCCTGTCTCAAGAAACAAAACAAAACACACCCACAACACTTGAGCACAGTGAAGGAACAGAAAGACCTCTCGTGACACTACAGTACAGAAGTGCAGAAGCACTTCCTTCCTTCCTTCCAGGGGTTTATGTGTAAGAGAAAAACAGTAAGTAAATAAGCTGAAATAATTATGCATCAGGAGAAAGACTATGAAGGAAAAAGAACTGTGACAGATTAACAAGAAGATGGGGAGCTATGTTAGCTACAGCGGTCTGGGAAACCTCTCTGAAAAATGACACTGAGGCTGAGAAGTGTAGGATTCAAGGGACCAGGCATGCAAGGAGCTGGTGACGACTATGACAGGCAGAGGCACCAGAAGCACACAGGCCCTGAGATACTACTCTGTTTTTCTAAAGATTCCTGAGTTACTTTTTATCTTTAGTTTGGCTTTCTGAAATTTTCTCTAACCTCACTGATTTAAGCATCTCTTAATTGGGTACTATCAGTAAACTTTTTTTTTTTTTTTTTTT